ATTTAGTATTTATTTTATCGCACCCCCTGATCAACTCCTCATATATTATTTATATATTTTTCAATATCAATATCAAATGTTTTCTTCTTTTCATTCACTTTGTTGGAAAATCGTTTGTAATATTAGTGAGACTGGCAATTATAACTTTCTATTACTTGTATATTCACATTATTCTTCATTCAACAGAACATGTTATACAAAAAAAAAAATTCTCAAATGTAACTCATTGTTGTTGAAAATAAATGATATTCCTGATTGTATTTTAATTATAATATGTTACAAACAAAATTAATATAATGAAAAAGTGAACACATCCAAAAAACGCTGCAAATTATCCCACAATGGTTTACTATTTCCAAACAATTATACTTCTAATGTAACATTACTTTCCTAGTGACAAAAGAAAAAGAAATAAAAGATGATTCCAATTATCGGACTAAATATTCTTTTTTTAATCATTAGTAATATGCTAACAAAATTAACATTACTTCTGTAACACATTCAAAAATCAAAATCCAAAACAAAGTATATAACCTTTGCAGTATAACATATAAAAAACATCTACAGACCATATCATTGCTCCTAATTGTCCCATTTTAACGAGTTTTTTTTTTTTGGAAATTCCGTCAACTTTTAAATAACCATATCTACAAAGAAGTGTATACTTTTTGAGTTATTCGGAAACTAATTTGACCATACCTCGTGACTTTTTTCCAGCTTCTTTTCGTTGAAGTATGTCATATAGATAAATTTAAAGAGCATCGAGAAGAAGACTTTAGCGAAGTTTCAATGAAATTGGTACACTCGTTTAGGCGCTACAGTCTATAGCAACGCAGGTTCTTCTATCACCATCTTCAAAGGAAAAGGCGGATAGAAATGTTTATGAAGGAGGATCATGTTTGGGTGACCTCTACTTTCAAATTCAAATTTGAAAAAAAAAAAAATCGGTCCAGTAGTTTCGGAGAAAATGCGCGGACGGCGGACGGACAAAAAAAAAAAAAAATTATCCGTTTTTTGAATTCTACGTATCCTGAAATGTAAAACCTTAAATTTTGAGAGGGTGTTATGTTTTTTAATTTTTTGGTAGATAGCAATGGTTCATTATTGAAAATAGTAAACAAAAAAAAAAATGTTTTGACAAAATATCTACGATATATACAAATCAAAAGAAAGTCTTCTGTGTCAACCTCACGAACAAAATATTTAGTTAATAATTCTGTTCTAGTCAAATTAGACATATTACCTTGCAAAATCGGGTAATTGAAATATCTTTTTATGTTATTAGATATGTAAATGTAAAATATAAAAAATCCAGGTTTCCGTTCTTGCAAGCCTTATCGGTTCGCTGCAGTTGTCCACAAAACATTGAAATTACAAACTTTTTTTTGTTTTAGGCTAAATATCTCCTTTTTAGAGCACCATTGATAAAAATGGATATATTCAATCTTAAACAGCTTAAAATTATCTACTTTTTTTACAGCCAGGAGTTAATTCCATAAAATGGTTTAAAATGTTTTTCTTTTATTATTAATATTAATATGATATTTTTATAGAATACAATTGTTCTAGACAATTAAGAGAATTAGCCTTATAAGGAATACATGGACAAACAAAACAGGTTTTTTTATTTATTTTTATTAGAAGTAGGGCTTTGGTTTTAGTATAAGATGAAAAATTAAAAGTTGTTTCCTTAAATGTATTTTTTTTTATTATTGAACAAATCAAATTAAAGATTTAATAAACAATAAACGCTTTAAAGCGGACCTCAACATGGGTAAATTAGCCCGAAACTTTGTTTGATGTATTCAAAAAGATTGAAATAGAATAAATTTAAAAAAAATGAAAGATTTTTCCTGATATTTTTATCGATGTTCCTTTTTGACTAATTTATACTTTATTGATTTACAAAAATAAAGAAATCGTTTTATTATCACTTGCCTATGGTAAATATTTAAACCAGTTTTTCTCTTCGCAGTTGAATTTTAAGAATCATAAAATGCCACAAGCTTAAAGAATCTAATGAAAATTTATTTTGTTGTCTATCCGGATTTTTAAAAATATGTAATTATTTAAAAAAAATTAATTTTTATTTATTGTATAAACATTTTTTACAAAACCAAATTCTTATTACTGGGTTCAAATTAATATTTCATATTGTTAAGAAAAGTGGTATTGGAATTTTTTTTTTGTACCCTGACAAAAAACAAATATTTAAATTAAAAAAATCTGGCCCAGAGTATTATAAAAATTTTACTTTATCTTATATAGATATTTATTTTTTTTATATATAAAAGTAATAAGCCATTGCAACAATACTTTAATTACAAATACAAACTTACAACGATATAAGTTATGACCATTCTCTGCACTATATATTTTTGTTTTCAATATTCAAAAATTGACTACCAATGCAGATTTAGAAGGATCCGTTCGACTATTAATCAAATATTTTCTTTACGGCAAATATTAGAGAAAAAATTAGAGTACAACGGAGATTTAAAAGAGTAGCAGCTATCGACCATTTCATTAAACGAAGGGTCTTCAAGCTAGTAACTATTATAGCGACTAACGTAGACGATACAGCTATTCTAACAAGATATAAAAATCCCAAACACGCCTCACAGATTTTACAACTTTACAAGGTGCAAACTCTGGAAAATTCGACTCAACCAAGACAAATCACAACACATCACTTTCACTCTAAGACATGCAACATGGCCTCCTATTTACCTTGACAATGCCGAAATACCTCAAACAGATAAAATACAATATCTTGGACTGAGATTTGACAGAAGAATGATATGGGGACCACATATCAACAAATAAAGAAAAACTTTAAACCTCATACTACGACATTTATACTTTGGTTAAACCGCCTGCGTTCCAAAAGATAGCTTTGAGTTGAGCCTTGCCTAAGTCTTTAGAAAGTTTGCGAGCATTTGGCCGTTTTTGATAGGGCCTGGGCATGTTTTGCTTTGTATATTGGACTGAGTTGGAGATAAATGTGATCGTTTACTTACCGTGTTTACGGGTTATCCAGGGGGCACGTGGACTAACTGTCCGGACGCGATCACTTCACCCTTTAAATAGTTTTTATTTTAGTTTATAAAAATAAAACTATCTATTTTATGCTTTTAGAACATAGGCCATTGCGGGCTCCACGGAAATGATGAAGCTGATAAACTGGCCAGAATAGGTTCTGGAATGATCCAACCCGATATTCCTCTGACCATGGATTCAACAAAAAGAATCATAAAGCAGACCCTCCAAAGTTCACTGAAAGAGAAATATGTACAAACAATTGAAGGGAAACAATGGAGTGGATTGCTGGAAGAAAGTGGCAGGATTCCTAGAGACCTCCCTAGAGGGCAAGCCGTGGCATGCTTTAGAATGCTGACAGGCCACGATTTCCTTCAGAAGCACCTCCACCGCATCGGTGTAAAAGATAGCCCGACATGCCCTCTATGTTGCTTAGACATAATGACAGGAGAACATCTGGATACATGTCCTGCATTACAGGACATAAGATGTTGCTTTAATGAAATGGACAGCTATTATGCTCGGAGAGCAAAATTGTATTGGACTGCAAGAGCATGCATGGCTAATGAAGCAGGCGTAGGAAAAAAAACAAAAAACAAAAAAAAAAAATTTATACTCACTTCTCTCAAGATTAACTTTTCAGTTAAAAACTTTCAGAACCATAACTAAATCTTTATGGTACGTCACAAACATTACTTTACATAAAGAACTTCTAATGCCTATAGTTAACGATCACATACGGAAGCACTACAAGCGATTTCACAATACCTTACATGGAGGTCGTGTCCGAAAAACAAAAAACAGCTCAGAAATTTCCCTCTTTTTTTTGGCATATTTAGAAAGCAATGCAAAATTTCGTTACGGAACACCAAATTCAGATTCAGCATCCCATAATACATATAAAAAACCAAAGAGAAACGAACTATTTGAATTTTTCCTCACCTAAATACCATCCTACTGGCCTAATTTGATGTTTCAGTTTTCAAAACGCAACCGAGTCATCAGTCAAAGTGAATTCTCTTTTAGGAACATCTTCCTGACATATCAAAAATTCTTCCGTTAAATAAACCATCAAATTTCGCCTCTTTAATTTAAATTTTCGCATAGAAAGCAAAGCTACTGACCGAAGTGGTGTGTTCAGATGGGCCTTATCTAGAATATAAAATGGTTACCAGCCTTAAGTCCTTCAGTTAAATGAAATGGTCAATAGATCTTATTCTATTATTTTATAGGAGGATCTTTGACATATCTGAATCCATAGAATCTTTTGATATTTTTTATAAACACAGCGCTATGTATGACAGGTAAGATTTAATATGATGTAAAAGACATCAACACCAAACATATAGCTAAATTACAATAGATTCTATGGACATTTTTATTCTTGTTGTTGTCTGTTTTTCGTTAGTTCTATACAGTCTTATTATTATGTTTTATAAAAAATGAGTAGACTTATCTTAATAAAAATTCATATTTGTTTAAGCCTCTATTAACAAGTAGTACAAACTATAATAAAATGCTATATGTGTCTATATACAGCAACCCCGACCAATATCTTAAGAAACTATTATAGGTAAGTAAAACGTAGGGTGTTCAAAAAAATATTTACATTCTACAACTAAAAATATACGGAATTGATTACGAATCAAATCTTTCATATTTCAATATTTTATTTTTCAGCTGAGACTTTCTTATTCAAAAATAATTTAAATAAAATCAGATCAAAGAAAAAAAAAACAAATATCTACAATGAACTCATTCATAAATGAAAGTTACCAAATCTGTTCGTAGTGAATAGCATCATTCATAGCTTTATAAAAACAAATGCCTTCAAAGGAAATATTCGCTTAAAAATGTAAACAATCAACCATTCATCAAAGTATTTATATTCAAGTATCTACAATAGCAATCTTTGTTCTATTTATTCTATTATACGTAAACAAGCGCTATCAAATCAAATCGAAGTTATCGAAAATTGTTATGAATCGAATCTATTTATTGATAATCGATTTTAAATAATGCTAAGGGTGGGGGTTGATGAGGTGGAGATATCGCCATTCTGCTCCAAGAAGTTGAAGAACTCAGTGCAGATATGGGTCGTCGGTAAGTCATTCTCTAGCAAAGCTTTAATTATTGTTTTTTTACATTTATTTGTGTATATGTTCTTTATTATTATATTTTTATAATGTTAGTCATATTAATTATAGATATTTAAAATGTGCAACCGTCGAACAAGGCTTCAACAAGTTTCAATTCACTTCGAAGTTTAAATCTACTTTTTGGCTTTCAGTACATTGATTTTTTTTTTTGGTTTGTGTTCTCTGATAACTTGTAACTTGGATATTTATATTTCCGAATTTGGTTGTGTGATATATGAGCCTTTAAGTTCAATTTTTTTTCAATCATTTTCAACATTTTTAATTTTTTTTTTTTTTTTGGTTTGTGTTCTCTGATAACTTATAACTTGGATTATATTTCCAAATTTGGTTGTGTGACATATGAGCCTTTAAGTTCAACTTTTTTTCAATCATTTTCAACATTTTTAATTTTTTTTTTTTTTTTTTTTTGGTTTGTGTTCTCTGATAACTTGTAATTTGGATATTTATATTTCCGAATTTGGTTGTGTGACATATGAGCCTTTAAGTTCAATTTTTTTTCAATCATTTTCAACATTTTTAATTTTTTTTTTTTTTTGGTTTGTGTTCTCTGATAACTTATAACTTGGATTATATTTCCAAATTTGGTTGTGTGACGTATGATCCTTTCAGTTCATTTTTTTCAATCATTTTCAACATTTTTGAGTAAGAAATTGAAGTTATATTTTTAATTGTAAAACTTATACCTTTATTCACAGTACCGTATTTAAACGCTGCAGATAGTTACTCTAGAATCAACTTACTCACTGTCTATACATATATTATAAATTTTCCAATATCACTAAAATTAACTCGAAAATGTTGAAATTTGAATTGATCATTCAAACAAATAAAAGGCTGGAATATATAGTGATTTTTTTTTCAATATTTTATTCTTTTGGTTTAATTAAAAATGTTTTAATTCGTTTTGAAGAATTTAAGTAGTTTCTTAAGTTTTTTTTTTTGGGACAATTATTAGTGAGGTAAATATCATTAGCATTGCTTTTCAAATTTCGAAAATTAGTTAATGCAATTTTTAGGGGTATCTGTTTCTCCCTACCTCTAAGAACGAAGCGGGGTATGACTTCCAAGAATGGATATTTTTTTATTTTTCTTAAAAATGGTTTAATTAGAATTACGAAAAAAGTATTTAATTTATAATTAAACTTGCTGTGTTATATTTATTTATTTATTTCTAATTTTTCTCTGGTTTGAAAGTTAACCCGAATTGAAATCCCACAAAAATATGGGTCTCTAGAAAAAATCATGAGTCCCATAAAAAAATGTTTCCAAAAATAAATCCATGCATTAGCAACCACTCTCTTCTATGACTTGGTAATTTTACTGACTTTTTAAATTTAAATTTTTAAACATTTTATTTTTATTAAGTTTTTCTTAATTGATACAGGTATTTAATTATAGTAAATAACTGATAAATAAATTAATAAATAATCATTTGTTAGTTTTGTCTGCTTTGGGTGTTGAAGTCTCTTTTTATTTCATCTGTAAAATTTAGTATGTCTTATGATACTACAAGCCAACATATCCTAGTTAGCTTACAAAAGTCAAGAATTTATTTATTTATCAATTAAAAAATTTATAATTATTTGCTAAATTATGATATTTATCAACAATGAATTGTGACTAATATCTTATAATCCTTATCTTCCTTGATGACAGAGAATTTTTAAATCAATTTATTTAAATAATTTGTTTTTCAATGATAGTTAAAAGTTATATTTGACAAATATTGTCCTTTTACTATTACATCATCAGAATCAATTTTTTTAAAAATCCTTAAATTGTTCCAACTACGGAATAATTCCATATTTGAATTAAAAAAAAAATTATATCATATGCCATATAAATATGATCATCTAGAATGGGATATTTTTGGTTTCAGCTAATAAACTATTTTATTTTTTTTATTAACCTATGTATTTTAATAATTCTAATTTTAACATTTAAATTATTTTTGTATCTGTTCGGTTCTGTCAGTGAGACTATCTAAATGTAATTTAGTATTTAAAAGTCTCACAATCAGTAAAAATTTTAACTTTGGATCTTGGAAAGTTGGAAATATCACGGTTAATTCAATTTTACTTAAATAAAAAAATTGAGTAAATTAAATATTCAATAAATAATAATAGTGTTTAATATATTGTAGAGGGAAAAGTGTTGTAAATATATTCTACCACTACCTATATATTTTATGGGGAAATATTAAAGTTTTTATTTTTAATGATAATGCTTACATTTTTCCCAATAAATAATTCTTATTAAAAATGTTCAATTCCTGTTAATATTCAGTTATATGATCCATAATCTGTAACTCGATATCTTGGAATCCATATTGAAAATTGGTAAGGGTGGGGGTAAACTAGCAACTGAATCTGATAATCCCCTTCAAGAAGTTGATGAGCAAGGATTGAAGATGAGTAGGTTAGTGTTTTTAATTATTGTAATTTAATTATTATATTTGTTTGTTAATTTAAGCGAAGTATTCGATTAAAATACGATTTTAAAGCATCATTGGCCATGCAAACTTTGTTCATAAACTATTAAACTTTAATAGTTTATAAATAGTGGTAAATTTTCAATGTTGGTTCAGTAAAAGTGAAGTGAATAATTGAAATAATTGGCTGTATTAAATATACTCTAAATCATAAAAATATAGAGCATTGTGCTTTAGGGAGAAGAGTGTAAAGAATATTTTCTAACAGCTTCTACTTCATGGGAAAATATAATAATGCAGATTCATTTCATTAAGCTTAAATTATTTTATTTATTTTTTATATTTCCTTTATGCGTAGCTATTTACTAATCAAGCTAGTTTTGCGCCAGCACCCGCAACACACTCCAGATATGGTTCAGGGTTTTTTCAAGATATATCGAAATATTCAAGACTAAAGGTTTGAAATAATACTCTGGGTATTTCTGATTATTTAAATTGCATTCCAACATCATTTTTCTATTTATTATTTTTTTTAATTTGCGTTAGCAGCGACTTCATTCCCTAACTCTATACTATACATGAAAACAATACTAATTCCAATTTTACTCTATTTTTTTTCTGTTCTTTTTTTTCCATTGTAAGTATCGTAAATTAACTAAATTTGGAATAAAATATATTACAATTTTTTTTAAAAACTTAATTTTTCAACACTGACGCAGTGAGTGTAATATTTTTAAAAAATATTAATAAAATGATTAAATAAATTATATTGAGTTTTATTATGAGGAATAACGCTGTGTTTTAGTTTCAATATAGAATTACAATGAATAATTTTAAAAACAATTTTCAACCATTATTATTTGTTTCAATATTCCATTCAATAAGCTATATTAAATACAAATAATCAGATACGTGATGTATAGTTAGGTTTATATTCGATAAAGTTGAATATAAAATAATTACTGCGTCATATTGGAATCCACATTGAAAATTTCTTTGGATGGGGTTTGTCCTGGACTGTTGATGTATTTTGTTGAATATTTGTTCTATTGTACACTTAGTCTTTTTTCCAATAATAGAAATTTTAATATTATTCATGTTTTTCAGGCCTATTTTAATAAATTAACAAGTTGTATTAATTTATTTCATAAATTATTTAAGAATTTCAATACAAGTGATTTTCAGTAGCCATGGATTTCATACTGAACTATATTTTTACTAATAATTTTATAAAATAGCTTATTTACTTTTGATATATACTTTGTTATTTCTAACCTAAGTTTATTGAAGATTCTTTTTTATTATAATAGCTTATATGTCGTTATTTTTAACAATTACAGAATTTATTTGAATTTGAATTTATATTAGTTTAGTATTATTTTATTCTGTGTGTTCTTGATAATAAGAGTCTTCATAACTGTTCCATCTAGATATGATACCTAGATTCAAATAGGTTTCAGTAAGTTAGTGAGTGTCTATATGTGTCTGTCAGATGAATCTGTCAATAATCAAGGAAAACCAGGAGACAAATTTCATGTAGAAGAATGAATATGATGTGATGTGATTCGTCTTGATTTAGTTGGGTTTTCTATTTAAACCAGTTGTATTATTTTGTTAAATACTGCTGTCATGACTGTTAGGCGTGTGTTTATAATATTGAAAGATAGTGCTCAGAGTTTATAAAATTCTATTTACTTTTGAGATTCTATATCACACAAGTCAGACAAATATTATCTTTTTTCTAAGAACATTTTCGGAAATATTCCTTAAAACAACTTTATCTATCAAAAATATAAATATAACATTCTGGTATCAAACGTCAGCAAATGATTAATAATAGATAACAAATCGCTGACTCATTTGACAAAATGATCTTAACAATTTCCCTTCTCAGGTTTCGAAGTGCTACTCCGTCTCTTTTCGATATAATCGTTTCTTTGTTTATTGATCCATGTTCTCAATATTTGTATATTGATCCCAGAACTGATAATTTAGATTTTCTCTACAAGCGATCTATTGTACCGACTGTACAAAGAGACGCTTTTAATCATACGGTATTATTTTTCAGACAACAGCAGTTTTATTATACATTGAGAATTTAATATAAATACGAAATAATGTTTAAAGCCGAATAAAGGATATAATTGTGTGAAGGCAAATTAATTTTTCGTTATGAAGCGTGCTATTGTATTAGAATAATTTTCTTACTAACAATGGTTTGCTTATAATAATAATTTATCAATGAAAGTATCGTTTACTAGAAGTATTTCATTGAGACACAAAATTTTTTCATTGATAAAAGATAATTTTACCTGAAATATTTTATAATTAAGGTAATAAAACATGTTGGTGTAAAACGTGGATCTTGCCAGCGCCCGATCCCGCAACACCCAAACGCAACTTGGAAAGGAGGCTCTATATACCCAATCCACATGTGTGTATATATATATATATATATATATATATATATAGAGAGAGAGAGAGAGAGAGAGAGAGAGAGTGAGAGAGGGAGTGTTTCAGCGTTAAGTGGAAAAACTGAAAAAACGAGAAAAAAATATCATCTGAAGGTATGTCCGCAAACGCTTCGTTTAGGAGATATTCAAATTGTAAAGATTTTCGTTGTTATGAATTAATTATTTACGTTATATGAAATAAATAAAACCTATTTATTTGTTCCAACTACTTTATTAATTAAATGTAAACATTAACATCCATATTAAATGTTCAAAGTAATTTCCTTGAGCATTAAGACAGGAACCTTGTTCTGTCAGCTACATGTCTCTTCTCAGTTGTAAGTAATTAAATAGGTTTCATTTATTTCATATAATGTAAATAATTCATAATAACAAAAATCTTAAGGTGTGAATATTTCCTAACCAAAGAGTCTGCGAACAAATCTTCAGAGGAAAATGTTTTCTTGTTTGAAGTCCTTTATATATATACATATACAAAATTAAAGAATTTAGTAACAAAAATGATAATTTTTGTAGTTTCCCTAAAATGTATTTAACGTTAGCTCGATTTTTATAACTTATGTTTTTCTGTTGTTTTTTTTTTCACATAAAATAATAAATGGAAAGATTATGATATTTGAAGCAAATTGTACTTTTCCAAATACAAGGCGAGTCGGAGATGTCTACTTTTCACTGTAAAATAATCATTTAAAAAATATAATTAAAACAAAAGATGTTTCTCTTGTGGTCAGAATAAATTATCAAATGAGCTTTTGATTGCAGTTAATTGAACTTTTCAGGAAATCTTCGTTCTCCTCTTCAGTTTAAAATAATAAAATAAATATATATATTTTTTAGGTTCAGTCATGAATCCAGTCATTACCAACTAAAAATGTATAAGGTTTAGAAACAATGTTTCATAAATAAACATAGTAATTTCTTTATACGACAATTGTTAAAAACATAATGAACTTACATTTTATTCTAAGAAATTGGGTACAACAAAATTCAATACAATTGGTTCAATGGTACTTAAATAAATTGATTATAGCAACAATTATGGTTTAGGTAGGGAGGATTAAGATATTAAATTTGCTATTTTATAGTATGGTCCCAGGTATCATGAATAAATCTCAAATCCTCTTATATATTCAAAGTTTGGTCCAAATATTTTGATATAAATAAATTATCTCACTATATTGATATTTTTATTATTATATTATCAAAATTAACCTCATTACTATGATTACTATCTATTACATGTGAATTAAAACTTGGGTGGTTTCTGTTGTATTTAATTGATTTTTTATGTTGATGTATTCTTTTTTCATATTTTGTATCGATGTATCAGTGTAAAATAAATAAGAAATCGAGCCTGCATGATAAAAAAAAATTAGATATACTATTTTAGAGGTATTGATAGAAAAATGGGAAAAAACATGGAAGCAGAAATATAAAAGACTAAATGAACCATTGTCGAACTTTTAGTTAAACTGCGTGAAAAATACTTTTTCAAATTCATTCAAAATATTTCATAGTATTAAATTTTGTTAATTTTTTTTTAATTAAACTGATCACCACATATACCACTTAATGGTCCAATCACTTATAATATTATTTACAAATTTCATTCTTCTTTAATCTTATTTCATTAATAAGAAATGTTTTAAGAAATCTCCTATTTTTTATTTTGTTTTTAATATTATAGTTTAGTTTGAATTTTTATTTATCATATTTATTTTTATTATCAAATTGTAACGAATTTGGTAATATATTTTTTAAGTCATATAGAACTTCATTCTATGGGTTTTATATTTTTAGTTTGTTTTTAATTTTTTTGGAACATTTTTTTTTTTTTTATCATCTGGTAATAGTTTTACCTTTAATAATGTTACTACTTTTTACAGTAATAAAAACAACAATCCACCACCACCACCACCAAATAATGAGTTGGCTCCTAGTACCAGCACCAGCAATCCAAACAACAACCCCGGGAATGCTCAACCTCAGCCACCCCAGGCCCTGCAGCAGCGAGTGAACCAGAACCAAAACGTCAGGACAAGATTCTTCAGACCTTATGCCGTCAATGTTCCGTAAGTACTGCCAATTGTTTTATATTTATTTATATAATTGCAATTATTAAAATAAAAAAAATATATAAGCTTTAGGCGAGAATTTTTCTCATCCTCTTTTATTGGTACGGGCATTTTTTTTTTAGGAAATTCCTTTTTGAGATATATTCCAATCTGTCACATTTAAGGAAAAGATTAATAGTTATAAAGATTAGCTCATTCATGGTCTAGGGATCTTCTTTTGTAAATGCATCTTTTTTTTTTTTAGAGTGTTACCAGTGGGTAGTTTCTAAACAAGAGTTTTCATGTTATTATTTTCTGTTATCACATTTACTGAATGTATTCTATTTTCTGAATATAGTTGTAAATATCATAAATAAAAAAAATTTAAATCTGAATTCTTGTGAATGTTTGATCAAAAATGATATATAGAACTCTCAGAACCATGAGTAGATTATTTCTTATCTAAGCTTCCAAATTTAAGCTATGAAAAACTGTACAACTTCTGTAAATTAAGCTACTTCAAACAGATCATGCAGGAGCAATTATTACTTTTATTTAATATTAATAAATGTGTAATTATTATCTTTTCCTTAGGTATTTGTTTTATTATATTTTATTGAATAATAATACAATCAGCCACTGTTGGAGGGCTATAAGTATTAAAGCTAGAAGTTCTCATTCATACAGTATATAAAAGTAATAAAGAAGTAACTATAAATATAAAAAGTAAATAAATAATACTTATAAAAAAATGTAAATTAATAGGAAAAAAATAAATAAAATAAATAAATAATAGGTATTTGTGGCTTTGCTTAGCTCCAACAGCTGTATGTCACAATACGGAGTGTTCCGTAAGTTGAGGGATATATTTAAAATGTTGATAATAACCATCAAAATCTACAAAAAAAATTTAATATAAACAATTGCTCAATTCCCAGCAGAAAAGGAGTAAATTTAATATTTGTGTTTTCTTAAGTGAATCAAGTTTTTTGTTGAATAGGAAACAATAACGTAAAAAATATTTGATTTAAATAACTAGACATTGCTCCATAGTAAACTAGACAAAATTTACTTTAATCGGAAGTAGAGTTGGTCATTGTTTAAACTATTCAAAGAGAACTAGGGAGCGGACCAACACAGCTAATTTTCGTTTTAAAAAAAGTCATAAATTATTTGTGATTTTTTTTTTTTATCAACCTCTAACTGTACTAAATTTATCCCACTTTTACAAAAACTTCCTCTTTTAATAAACTCTAAGTTAATATTAATTAAGTTTAGATTTGTTAGGAAAAATTTTGAGTTTCACTTCAAGTTGTGTAAAGAAATTATGTGGCTTCCTATCCAGTCGTCTTAAATTATTCCTGTTTTCTGCAAGAATGACTAAAATTGTTGCAAAGCTTTTATTTCTTGATTTCCCGTGATATAAGATGTATTGTAATAAACATAATTACCAAAAAACAGATTTTATTTATACATTTTTTTTTTGTCTTCAATTTTTCATCCGCACCTGTCATGGTAGTGTCAATTAGCAGATCGATCATTACAATAATCACTAGGATTAATTAATATTTAATTATTTCAGTAACGACAATTGTGGAAATTAAAAAAATTATTTTAATGTATATGGGTGTGTATATTTTGTGATAGATAAAAAATTGCAACTATAAAATATAAAGAATTATTGCGGGTCTCCATTAGCACTGAACGTTTTTACTCAAAGGCAAGTTAATGATATTTTCGAATATTTTTCAGCCCTAGTGGTTACTAGATACTACCTAGTTCTGCCGTAGGTACTGTTACAAAAGTTGAACTTTTTTATTGTATTATTTAAATAATTCTCACCTCTATCAGGTTATTTTCTTTACATGTCAGGATAACAATCCCAATTAGTTTGTATTTTTCTTTCGTTCAGTTAATATGGAGTGGGGTGAAAATGAAAACCGAATAGCCTTACACAAAGTTGGAAAACGTAGGTCTAAGATTTTCAATACTTTGAAACCTTTGGATATCAGCCGTATTTTCGTGTACAGTACAATAAATAGATATAATGAGATCCTATCTATATGCGACATACCTCGATCCCGAACTGTGAGAACGGCAAATGCAGTGAGAGCAGTGGCTGCTCGTATCAGAAGAAATCACATTCAAAAGTAACAGATCATTTCTCGGGAAATGGGAATCTCTGTCAGATCAATGTCTTGTATAATAAAAAGTGACCTTAGGATGGCTGCATTTCGAAGAATGACAGGACAAAGGCTAACCACTTCCCTAATAAAAATTAGAGTGGATAGATAAAGTGCTCCTTGGCGGTTACACCAATGGTCTTCATCGGAAGATTTTGTTTAGCAAGGAGAAAATTTTTACAATTGAAGAAAAATGTAATCGTCAAAATGATTGTGTGTACACACACAGCTCTAAAGAAGCCCAGGAATTCATTGAAGAGTGGAAAGAGATGATCACCCTTCCTCAGTGATGGTTTGGTGGGGAGGTTGCCTTGATGGCACCACAAAGCTCCATTTTTTTTTAAAAAAGTAACAGCCAATGAAAACTATCAGGACGATATTTTTGAACCTGTTGTAAAGCGTCTAAATGATACTCTGTTTGCTGAAAGTCATTGGGTTTTATAGGAGAATTTCGTTCCAGCGCACAACACAGGATTAATCCTTAGGAAGCCCTGATCTCAACCCACTAGATTATCGGGCGAACCGGAGAGGATGGCATGCCACAGAGCACACCCTAACTTGGAAAAGCTCAAACGATCTCTGGTCCGAGCTGTTGAGCGCAGCGTGTGCTATTGATGACTGACCACGGAGATTAAATGCCTGTGTGATTAATAGATAAAAGGGGGACATTTTGAGTAATTTATTTTAATCTCTTTAGATATACATTTTATTTTCCTGTTGGAATTTCTATATATTTCTTCTTCTTTGTCTTCCTCTTATGCCATTAGTTAGCGTCGAGGAGCCTCAATCCAGCGTAACCACTCTTCCCGGTCCCTGCTTAGCCGCTTCACCTCATTGAGGGTTTTGCCTCTTTTACATCCAATTCTTTGAATATACTCTTGGTATGTGATTCTGGGGCTTCCGCGTGGTCTCCTTCCTGTGGGTCGAGCCTCTAATATCCTTATACGATTCGAGTTCTCATTCATGCGGCAGACATGTCCATACCATTGGAGTTGCCGTCTTTCTAGAGTGGTTTTAAGTTCGGTAACTCCTAGTTGCTCTCTGATGCTTTCGGTCCTAATGCTCTCCCAACAGATCTGCGAAGGAACCTCATTTCTGCAGCCGTTATGCGACTTGAGTCTAGCTGGACAATGCTTTCAATGAGTGTAGGTAGGTAAACAGACTTATATACATGCATATTTCCTAAGTGCATATTATATAAGTCATCAGTATATATTTCCTTGTAACAATATTTATGACAGGACTAGATATAGATCACTAGATACTACTATATCAACGGCATTTCTTGTTTTATTTGTATTGTTTACAACCAAGACATCCGAGCGGTTATGAAATACCTTATGATCCGTTATTACTTCTTCATCTCTCTGAAGTTTTACTATTTTACTATTATCTTTTCTTAATTACTCTTTTTACTTTCGCTTACGTATATATGTAATATATAGTAAGGGTAAGTATTGCGATCGTGAAAATTTTGGAATCTGAGTTTTCAACGGAAATACATGTTTTGAGGTCCCCTGAGTTCAAATAACCAAGTGTCGCAAAATACTGTGTGTGTGTGTGTGTGTGTGTGTGTGTGTGTGTCTGTCTGTGTGTGTGTGTTAACAGTCTAGCTCATAAACAAAAAGTAGTACGAAACTGATATTAAGTATTTAAGGTTTGTATATGAGCCGAATGTGACAGCAACTTTTTCGTTAAAATCTGCTAACCGGAAGTGCTACTTTATATGAACGCTGAAACACATTTTTACAATTTTCTCAAAAACGATTCTGATCAAACTCGGTGTATCATTGTATAATTAAGTGGTCTTTAATATCAGTTAGGTCTTATCCCCGTTTATGTCACTTTACAGGGCTTAAATGCCCAATGTTCATATATGTCTTCCTCTAAAGTACCCTAAATATGGTTTATTTTAAAAAGTTAATCATTTCACATTATTCAAAGTAATGAAAAAAATTTAGCATTTCAATATGTATAGATTTCAATGAAACTTCGCTAAAGTCATTTTCTCGACACCCTTTAAATTTATCTAAATTACATACTTCAACGAAAAGAAGCTCGAAAAAAAGTTACGAGGGATAGTAAAATTAAATTCCGAATAACTTAAAAATTATTGGGGATATTGGTTTTTTAAAAGTTTATGTAATTTCCTAAAAAAAATCAAAAAAAAAAATCGTTAAGATCGGACAACTAGGAGGAAAGATATGGTCTCTAGTTTTTTTCCCTGAAGAGGTGAAAATTTGGATAAATTTAAAATATATTTTTATTTATTGTTGAGACTAAAAAAACTTTTTTTCTACAGATATTTAATAAAGTGTGTTTCCTAAGAACATCTTTCATAAGAAATAAGTACCTAAATTTATACCTTTATTCTCAGTTCTATATTTCAACACTGCAATCACCACCTCTGGAATAAACTTACTCATTGTCTGCATAGATAACTTTTTGAACTTAAAATATCAATAAAATGACATCACTCAAAAATGTCGAAATTGGGGTTAGTCATTCTATGGTTTATAAAATCAGATATAGTGAATTGATTTTTATTGCCTGTCTTCCATATATTAAATAGACATTTTGTAATTATAATGGTTTTAATGACTTGTTATCTGTAGGCTTTAAGTTTTAGTTCCCTTTAAAATGTACTTAAAAACATTTTATAATAGCCCAGCATTGCCTGAAAATAATTTCTATTCATAGTAGATCGGTAAGTCAAAGTTGTGTGTTGCGCGCACCAGATTTTTTATATTATTATATATTATTATTCTCAATATATAACCTGTTGCTGAATGTTAATTATTGTTATTTATCACAGCGGCCAAATGCGGACAGTGAGACACCCTTGGGACAACAGGGTGCCGCCATATCCGTTCCACAGCCAGGCTCTTCCGCAGATGGCTACCGGAGGTCCTCAGCAATTCTCTTATCCTCCCTCACCTCAGAGGTCCGGACCATCCAGAGGATCCCAGTCTTTCATCTATGCTGGCCAGTTCCCGAGGGCTTTTCAGGTAAGGAAATCCGAATTATACAGTTTATATAACACGATAGAAATCTTCTTAGTCAAAAAACGCTACAAATTAACATTTTCAATTAAAAAGTAATATATCTAGATAAGATGCTCAATTTTTTTAAATAAAAATTTTCCGAAAATGGATTTCAAATTTTAGTAGTTCGTAAACCTATGACTGCTTGTCCTACAGTATCCTTCAATAATACTCCACTTATTCCTGTTGAGAAAATCCGCTACTTAGGACTCCATTTGGATAAACGTCTTACTTGGAATCCTCATACTAGACTGAAACGACAAGAAACTAATCGACGTTTCCGACTGCTCCAACACTTACTAGACAAACGCTCCAAACCTTCAATTAATTACAAAAGACTTATCTACATAACTATAATAAGACCTATATGGACATACGGAGTTGAGCTTTGGGGCTCCACCAAACCATCGAATTCCTATCGTATCCAATCCTTTACAATCCAAAATCCTTAATGCTCCATACTTTGTCACAAATAAAACCATTCATAAAGACCTTAATGTACCATATGTCGCTGATTTAGCTCGAGCCAGATACCTATCCTTTCATGATAAACTTCAGTCCCATCCGAATCCACTTGTTTCCACTCTTGCTTCTTCCTCGATTCCTGATAATCCCCCCAGGCGTCTGAAAAGGAGGTGGCCTCGTGATCTTCTTACTTAAAATTATTTAGAGAGTGCTACCACTGGGTAGTATCTCTTCAAGCCTGTACATGCCATTATTTATAATTTGCGCATATTTACTAGTTGTATTTGTATACAGTTGTAAATTTCACTAAATAAACAAACAAAAAAATTTAGTAGTCTGCTCTTCTATTATAAATAATGATATAATTTTTATTTTATTTCCTGCTACAATTAAAATTTCAAGTTTCTTAAAAGAAAATATCATAAAGTTTTGTTTTTGTGGCCAGTAAATTTCTCAATAACGAGCACAAATCATCATCAGAGATATTAACCAAAAAGGAGTTCATCACGATGCATATAAATAAAGTAATAAAACCATACAAAGTATAAATGTATTTCATATTATTACTTAATTACAAAATTATTCATAATATAATAATATAAATTTATTGTTGATGTTGATGTTACAGATTACTGCAGCAGCTCGGCCTCCTCCTTCCGAGTCTGTCAACTTTCTGCGGATCGCACCCAGGTAAAAAATTATATATATATATATCATTGTCTTCATTTTGGAGACATAAGGCTGTGTGGTTTGGAATTTTTCCAATAATAACCTAACATATATATTTTATATATATCTTTGTGCATGTTTATATATAACTTATACTTATCCATATGTATATATAATAGATTTTTTTTTTAATTTACACTTTTTTTCATAAAAATAAAAAATTAAATATTCTTTAAAAATACTGGAATTCGCGATCGTTATATAGATGATTTGAAATTATATATTTTTGAATTTATTGTAACGGCATTTTTTTTCCGTATATTTCTTTCAAAATTGAGTATGAAGTAGGGAGTTTCAGTTGAAACTGTGGAGTGGTCGAAACGTTGGCTTTTAATAAAATAGTTTTTTTATTATTTTTATGATCACTACCCTGGACCATCTACCCAGACGTATTCAATATGAAAAAAAAACTTTTACGTCACTCTTGCCACCTAACATACGACAAATTATATAAAATATGCACCTCATTAAAATTATTATAAAGAAATATCTGGATGAAAAACCTATGTTGCTCTGTTCGATAATGTTATAACATTTCTAATTTTTACTTACATCTATGTATACATTTTTTTTTAATAAATATTTTTTAATAAAAATACCTACATGTTTTGTTTACAAATGATTTCTTTGTATATAAGCAGTTATTTTTTTCCATTATTATTTTTTTTTAAATATTTTTTTCAATTATTCCATCACTACAATGCTTTGCCTATAAAATTGATTTTCCATTCCTTTCTAATTTCATTCAATGATTATTATGCTATTGTTTTAGATCCAATATTGTAGTACTGAACCCCTATTACCCAACTGTTCTCGTTAATTTATCCTAAGAGCTATTATACTTAATTTATTACTAGTATTTTGTTAATATTCATTGTAATAGGTCTTTTAGATTTATTGTTAATTTATTTGAACAATACTGTTATTCTAAAGGAACCTAGTCCCAGAATTTTTTTTTTTAAATTATTTGAAAATTAATACATTCTGCCGCATTGGAAGGCATTAATATCAGGTGCTACGCTAAACATTCACACAATATATACATACAAATGATAACTAAAATAGAGATAAAAGAAAAAGAGTTGTGGAAAGTAAAATAAGAGAATTAACATAAATAGGTAAAAAAAAAAATAAATAAATAAAAAAAGAATAGAGAGAAGCTAAATGAAATTAGTCCCAAAATAAAGATGATTTTTCTATTCTAAATATTATTTATTGGTACAGACCACTTATCAAATTATTAACATCCGCCTGAAACTTCATAAATAGCTTCATCTCAGCGTAACCTACAACTATTTTATTTATAAAAACTTTAGGGAGTTGGGGCATTTTCAATCTGGATATCGGAAAAATTTGTCTACTTAGTAAGGTAAAAACCCGTAAATTCCCATTTCCACTTGAATCGTAAGATAATTTGATCAAGAAATCGAGAGAAAAACTGGCCTTCAAAAATATTAAGACGTTTGGTGTGACCTATGTCCCAAAATGTAAAAATAACGAGGTTATATTGGTCAAATGGCCTTATATATTTATAGGCCATCTTTTTTTTTCGATATTATGGTCTAATTATCCCACGATAAAAGTGAAAAGCAAATGTGCATTTACGATGTTTTAGTACCTAATTAAATAAACATCTGCTGATTGAAAACTCCCCAATTTCTAGAATTTTCGTAAATAAAATAGTTGTATGTTACGATGAGATGAAGCTTTTTACGGAGTTTCAGGAGATGTTAATAATTTGATAAATAGGGGTCTGTACCACGGATTATATCTGTTTCTATTAAAAGTATTTTGCCAAGTAAAAGTTGTGTGGCGCGCACATTCTACTGTATATATTTTAAATATTTTAATTTGGCCTACGAAGTATACGATTGTAGACATAAATATAAATAATATGTTTGATATAACATTATATATGATATATATTATTATTATTATTATAGCAGTTCCGTCAGCCTCCCAAGCCGTCGGCAGAGAGGAAGAAGGCAGTCCGCTGATCAGCGAAGGAACCAACAAGCGGCTTCTGCGATGAGCATTGCCCAGCTGCCGTGAGTCCTAATTAATTTAATTATAATTATACATTATTTACATACACAATTATTATTTATACACACAATTATTTATTATATGGATTTCTCAGTTCTAAATAGACAAACTCTGGATAGTGATTCTAGATAAAATTTCCAACAAAAAAGTTCGTTTTTTTTCATGGGCTGATTCCAAACACAAAAGAAGTTAAGACCAATTTTGTGTCTTCCTTAAGATGGTCACGTTTTTATTAAATATAAAGGAATAGTCAAAATCTATTCAAGATAATTAAATTCCAATGACTGAGACTAATAACTGCAGCTCCCTGGTACGTCAACAAGACTTTACATACCGACCTAAGACAACCAACCATTGACCAACACATACGTACTCTTTACTCCCGATTTTGACTTAAACTACACGGACATCTCAATGGACTTATCAACGACATGACCAAGGCTGAAATGCTCATCAGGAGGCGACTGAAAAGGATTTCAGACCAGGGAAGAGGTGCTGGGTACCATTCTTCATCATAATTTTCATGCCATTTTCTATCCAACAAAAAATCTGCTAATTGTCACTACCATGACATGTGAGGATGAAGATTTGAAGACCGAAAAATTCTATGCACACAATCGTAAAGTAGACAAAATTATCATTTAGAAAAAATATTTTTTTTAAACATATTTATTAAGAGATATTACAATCTGTCACAATTAAGGATATTTAGAGAGAGAGAGAGAAAAATAACTTTATTCTGGGACACAGTCCCTTGAGAATAACAAAATAGAACAAAATTAAAATATTACATCAGGCCAAAATAAAATAAATCGAAAAAAAGAAATAATGTAAAAAAAATATAAGGTAAAAATTCTATATACAAAACCATTAATACTATGACAAGAAACTTAAAGCTATTTGCTCTTATAGACCAGTATACACTTTTCCGAAAAAAATAAAGAATTAAAAAATAAAAATGTATCAAATTCTCTATTGAAATCCGCTCGAATGGTTAGCAAGTATCTGACTGTTTTTGTGATAGGAATTGGAATAGGAGGGATTTGAATATGGATATGGAGGGGGAATGTCGAATTTTGATAGGGAGGGAATTCCAGAAATTGACAGAGCGAACAATAAAGGAATTTTGGAATGAGGCAGATCTGTGAGAAGGCATGTAAAGGTCAGAAGGTCGAGATCTTGTGGACAGGGAATGGACTGAGGATTTGAACTGGAGAAGGTTGTAGGCGTAAGAAGGACGATGGTTGATGATTTGGTAGAGGAACGTACCTAGAAAGTATTGTCTTCGGAAGGAGGGGAAGAGCCACCTTAACTCAGTGTAGTGGTAGGAGACATGGGAGTACCTCGGGGCACCAATAACAAATCTTACGACAAAGCACATTCACAATAAATAATAAAGAAAAATAATAATACTAACAGTAAATGTATATAAACGTTTTTTTTTGTTTATTTGTTTAATGAAATTTACAATTGCATAAACAACTAGTAAAGATACACACATTAGAAATCATGACATGAACATACTTCAAGATATAATGCCCAGTGGTAGCTCTCCCTATTTAATTCTAAGTGAGAAGATCTAACTATTCAAAATAATTAAATTCTAAGTACGCCATCATAAAATAGAAAAAAAATTCCTAGAGATTACATTTACTAAGGTCAATGAAAAAAGAGATTTTCAGGTCTGAACGTTCTACAAAAATGACTCCAACTAGCTGTTGTAAAGCATTTATTTCTTGTTATTTACTTGTTAGCATTTAGTTTTAACAATGACAAATTCTACTTTCGTTCAAAGTAAATCTTTAGTTTACTATGCAGTAATGTTTAATTTCTTAAATCAAATATTTTTTAAGTTATCGCTTCCCATTCACGAAAAAACGTGACTCGCTTAATAAAACACAAAATTTAAATTTTCTACTTTGTTGCTGAAAATTGTGTATATCTTGAAGTTTACTATCAACATTTTTAATATTTCCGTCTGCTTACAGGACACCTCGTATAATTACCATCAGCATAACTAATTTTCTTCAAAATTATTCGTGATATACTTCCTGGGAACTCTAGATAACCCGGTAAAAGGTTGAGGATGAAATGGTTTTCTTATCTCGAGCTATCTATCCATCGATCTTAATGGCTGAATTAGAAATGAAACAAGAAGATGGGTCTGAGTGCTTGGGAAAATTCGAACATGTGTAGAGAATAAGTTCCTGGCTTTCCAATTCAACTATAGGCAGTATTACCTTCTAAAGAGAAAGTGTTTATGTCAGGCTCAGACCAGGAAATTTCCCAACAAAATAAATAGGAAACTCTAAAATTTATATTCAGCTCGAAAAACCAAAAGTATATAGTGCAGAGAACTTTCACAGTTTTGGTTTATTATTTCCAATAATTAACCACTGTAATCGTCCAAAAAATTTAAAAATTTAACTCCTCGAAATTTACGTAGAACTTGAAAATCGAATTTAAAAAATGATGTCAGCGCATTTTGTCCGAGACAAAACCGATTTTTTTTCCAAATTTGAAATCAAAGTCAGAGGTTCTCCGAGGATGATCCTCCTATCTCGACATCGCTACAGAACCATTGTAATCGTCCAAAAAATTCGAAAACCTAACTTCTCCTCAAAATTTGAAGTTTTACATTTCAGGATTCTTGCAAGTTACGGAGGCCGTAAAATTAAATTTCCTAATCACTCAAAAA